CTCGGTGACAGCTGCAGTGACAGGGAGAAGCCGTGGGGATGTGGAGACCGGGGGGAAGAGGCCCACCTTCCTCCATCAGCCATGTCGCCTCTCAGAGCAGAGCTCCAGGACGGCCAGGGTCAGAGGAGGGGTTGTGGGGCAGGGGACCCGGCAGTGTGGGTTGTCAGGTGACCCGGCTCATCTCACGGAGGGGCTCTACCTGGGACCTCGGTGCCTGCTCCCAAGAGCAAGGCCACCCTCAGACGAGAAAGAGCACAGAGCAGTGATGGCTGAGGGGCCAGAGTCAGAGCCATCCCTCCACCATGGGTCCCGCTTCCCATGCAGCCCCAGCCACCATGGGCCCCGAGATCTGCTGCGGGGCAGCCCAGTGGCCCAGCAGGAGCATCCACCACAGCCCAGTGGCCCAGCAGGAGCATCCACCGCAGCCCAGTGGCCCAGCAGAGCATCCACCGCTGGGGTCAGCCCCGGCTGCCAACACAAAACGCCATGGCCCGGGTGCCTGTGGGCCTTGTTGACCTTAACAACAAGGTCGAGGGCAGCCCAATTGGGTTCCTGTTCCTGGTGTGGGCTCCCTCCTTGGGGCCCTCGGCACTGTGTCCCTTGGGTAGCAGTGAGAGGGAAGGGGGCGCCTCCCTCTCGCCTCTTTCCTAAGGGCCCGACCCCAGTATAAGGGCCCCTTTTTGACCTTGTCACCTCCAAATGCCATCACCCTGGGGCTAGTCCATTTGAATGTGGGGGACACAGTTCAGGCCTGGCACCTGCTCATTGTGAATTTCCCACTGTGCACCTGTTCTCTCTCCCTGGCAGCTGGTGGAGAGGAGTGAAGCCCAGGAGGCGGGCCCGCCCTTCACCCAGGCACCTGGCACATGTGGGCACCCAGGGTGTCCTCCTGACCTGGTGAACCACCAGCCCTTGGTGGCACACACTCGCGTCACGCCCCTCCCTATCCTGGCCCTTGAACCTGACTGGACCCCCCTGGTCTACAGCCCCTGGACCACGTCTCCACATTCGAGTCTCCCAGTGGCCACACCTGGAAGATACCACGGAGGTGTTCCTGGTTCGCCAAATGAATATTCCACAGCAACAAAGAGACCTCTCCCCAGACCACCGCTCCTGAGGCCACGCTCACACGGGCGGCGGGAGAGAGACCATGGCAAACACCCACAGGAGCCCAACTCTCCTTAATCACTTCATTATTGGCTTTGAGGACACGTCCCTGGAAGGAATCTGCTGCTCGAAAATGCAGATATTATGAGCCCCAAGCCCCCAAGAGGTGCAACAGACATTAAAGAGCATTATGTCAGTTCCAGGGAGGGACACATTCAAAAACGAGGTTTAATTTGTCTATGTGTAAAATGCTAGACTTTAAGAAACACCTAGGGCCAACAGCAAATTAGTGTGTGCTGAGGAAAAGCAGACGATGATTTGCCGGCTCCCAGCAAATTGAACATAAGCTCCAGTTATAATGCAGCCACGGAGAGCGAAGACGCAATAATGACTAGATTGGGATGTGGCGACGGTGGCACTGAATAAGAATGAATTGGCACAGGCCCGGCTCGCTATCCATCTGGGAGTCCCCATCACCTTCCCCGTTCCCTGGAGGGTGTGCTGATCTTGGTGAGGTGCAGAATCTAAAGGAAACAGGGGAGGGAAACAGACCACACCCTCCTCGGTCTGGGGCCTCCGCCTGAGTGGGCTCCGTGGCTCCATTCTGTCTCCACCTACTTGTCTCGTGGGAAAGGTCACACCTGCCCTGGCCTAGACATCTCCTCCAGCTGTGTCCTCACTGTGACCTCAAGGGACAGGGGTTCTGGGACCCATCTGCAGGGGACACTTCCTTCCAGTGGATTCTAGGGGAGCTGACCTCGGGGAGGGAGCTTTAGGCATGGCCAGAGCCCTCCCTGAACAATGATCGCCCATCACTGCCTGCTAAGGGCAGGTCAGGAAGGGGTGCTGTGGGGGCTGGACCTCTGCCGAGAGTCTGGAGGTGCCCCCCTGCCTACCAGTGGCTGTGGTGCTCGGCGGCCCGTGGCCTGGCATCTTCAGGGAGCCTGAGCTGCCGGGTTTCAGTGGAGAGCCTAAAACGCCTGGGCGAGACCAGGCTCCCACTCAGTCTCCTGTAAGGAGCCGCCGTGCTCACCTCTGATCTCACCACCACCTGGGATTGGTGTCCTAGGGCGGCCAGACGAGAACGCCACAGGTGCATTCCCGTCAGCCCTGTCCTCAGCATCGCTCAGGGCAGAAACTCATGTCCTCCTCACAGCCCTGAAGGCTGGGAACCCAGCGTCAGGGTGTGGGTACAGCTGCGTCCTTCCGGAGCCGCCCTCCTCAGCCTGTGGACGCTGTCTTCTCTCTGTGTCCTCACAGGGTGGCCCGTCTGTGCCTGTCCATGTCCTCATCTCTCCCTATAAGGACACCAGTTATACTGGATCAGGGCCCCGCCCTTCTGACCCCATTTAACCTCGATTACCTCTTTAAAGCCTCTGTCTCCAAGTATGGCCACATTCTGAGGAGCTGGGGTTAGGACGTCAACATACGGATTTTGGGGAGACACAATTCAGACCCTAGCACAGCTCTGATGCCGTTACTGCTGCTGGCCCTGAACCCCAGACCTGGGCACTCTGCCCGCTCCCTGTGGGCCTCCCAGTGGTGGGTGCCCCTGGTGACCACGCCAGGTCCGGCTGCAGCCCTCTTCTCCTTTGGGAGGGTTGACACTCATGAGTGCCATCTGCTTCTCCTCCCAGGACCAAGCAGGCGGGTCTGTGCCCCAGTGAGTGCATGAGGATGCCACTGTGGACAGCAGGGTGCCCGGGTCCGCATCCCCGGAGCCGGGCAGTGCCCACAAGGGAAGTGAGCATGGGGCCTCTGGGGCTGTGGAGGTTGGGCCCTGAGCAAGGCTGTGATCGGGTGGGACCCTGCCTAGGGAGGTGTCTCTGAGAACAGCCTCGAGGGGACTCCACATCCCTGTCTGCCTCACTCCCACTCGGGTCTGACTGCAGGAACCACCTGGCCTTGTCTGCTGCAGTCACTGCCCCATCACATCTGTGCGGTGAGTGCCTTGCAGACCAGGGGCCCCCGGGGACCCGAATCCCCTGCTGCCCCAGCGCCTCTTCGGGACACACCCCGCTTTCCTTTCACAAATCAAAGGTCTTCCAACATGGGCCTGCCAAGAAGCATCTCTTCCAGATGAATACAGATGGCAGAGGCTGATTTAAATAAATCTATTAATTATCTGCAGCTTAGCACGCGTGCGTATGCGTGTAAGTTGCAGCTCCTAAATCATGTAATTTCGGGAGCCTCTGCATCTACTACATTTAATTACTTCTCCCTGTGGTGCGCAGGACCGAGATGCAGCCACAACCTCACTGGGTCCCTGGAGCTTGGCGAACCCCAGAGGGACTGCTCTGATGGAGGGGCTGGCCACAGGGGGTCTGGGGATGCAGGGCCAGTGAGCACTTGCTCTGAGGGACCCACCTCTTCTCACAGTCCCCTGGGAGCCTCCCCAGGACAAATTCTTCTCCTCTGCCTGCGACACGCTCTGTGCCATTGGTCTCTGGTGACATTACCTCCCATCCGTGGTCCAGGAGCTTGGTGAGACCACCAATCCCTACTCTCCCCCTCCAGGAATGGGTTCAGTGTTTAGGGTCTTAGCCTGGTCCCTGGATCCCAGGGTCACAAAGGACTCTGCCCACAGGAGATGACACTCCCAGGGAAGGAGCAAGGGCAAGAAGAGGGCCCTGGCTGGGGCAGGGGAGCAGGCGGCAGGGCCTCCACTCCTCACAAGCACCACCCCAGGCCAGGCACATCCCCTCCCAGGTCTGTGGGCTTGAAGCAGCTATTCCTCGAGAGATGGCTCAGCAGCCTCCGGCCAGCGTCCACAGCGCCCCCATCCCCACACCCTCATCTTGCCTGATGCCCTCGGGTCAGTCTCCTGGGCCAGCTTCCTGGGCTCCTGTCTCAGGGGCTTGGACAAGGTCCCCTCTTCCCTGGGCCTTGCTGATGTCAGGGTCACCTGGCTGCAGGACACCACAGACCACGGGGTGCCCATGGCATGGGGGGTGCACCCCAGGCCGCTTCCAGGAGCTTCCCAGTGTTTAGTGGGTTTGGGGAGTTTTTTGTTGTTTTTGCCTTGTCTCCCTCTCTCCCTCTTCCCATAAAGATCCGCACTTCTGAAAACACAGACAAGCTTGAACACCTATGTTGTGAGAGTGAGAGGCAGGAAAAGCCACAGGAATGAGCTGGGAGCTCGTGTCCTCCATCGGGGAGCAGCTGCCCACCCCAGAAACCCCTTTCAGGACACAGTCTGAACACCAGGGCTGAGCTCCACTTGCTCTGCTGGCGAGATGAGGGATTGCTCTGAGAGGGAAAGGGATGAGGGAGGAGAATGTCCAGGCGCCTGGGAAGCTGGCCATGCCGCTTAGAAAGAGCCCTGAGCCCACCGCCGGCCCCATGCCACTGGCCAGTATCCTTTCATTCCTTCATTCCTTCATCCATCCCCCCTCCCTTCACTCGGCATCCACGGAGCCCCTTGTGCCAGGCCCTGGGTTGCTAAGACACAGCAGTGGGTGGGGCAGGGACAGGTGTCCGGGACTGGGTGGCCCTGTAGTGGGAGTCGTCTGACCTCCTGCTGCCATGATAGCCGCTGGAACAGCCTTCTCTTACCTCTACCATCAGAGATCTCAGATCCCCGGGTGGAGGGGCTACCTTGCCACCCTGAGCCCCTGCCCAGAGACCCCGAGAACACAGCTTGGAGAGGCTTGTGGGACCCCCTCTCAGGACCACTATGGGGAGAGCAAGCACCTGACCACGAGCATCCCACTGTCTCTGCAGATACTCCTGTAAGCTCTGACACTTGGCGACAGACAGACCCACGTCTCTATAAAAACCATCAGGCTCGTGAGAGGACTGTAGGTCTGCAGAGAATCTTAGTGTTTCATAATTTTCAAATTATATTCCAGACACCCGGGAAATTTTGAAATAATAATAATTTGGAGGTCTAATCTGTTAAAACAATAGCTTTTAATATTCATTTGTTACTGGCAATAAATGGCTGTAATAACTTGATGATGAAGCCGCTGTGACCTTCACTGAACCTCAGCAATCTCATTTGCATTCTCATTAAAATGACAGTTTCAGTCTCATTCTTTGAAATCTGTAATACCCTCCTTTCCAGAATCTCCAAAGCCTCCCTAAAGAGTAATTAACTCATGTGATTAAAAATGTAATATGTTGGGAACATTTTTTACTTTATGAAGGTACCAGGTTAAAAGTTTTAATATGCACTGTATTAATCATAAATCATTTTGATTGCTAAAAAACCCTTACAGAAAGAGGAGTAAATGGGAAAGCTTCATTGTCAATGTTGGATTATGATCAGTTCTTTCCTATCCTAATTTTTATTAATGGAAAAAAAAAATGATGGACTAAACTAGCCCGTCAAACTTCTGCACCTTCAGAGCCGGCAGTCCAGACACCCGGGAGCATTTCCCTGGGGACGCTTTTGCCGGGAGCCCTTTCAGAAAGTCTCCGGCCTCTTCCTCCCAACCCTTCAAAGGCTCTCCACAGCCTGATCTCTTCCCTGAGCCCGGGTGGGAGCTGAGCTCTTCTGAGCGGCCGCCCGAGGACCTGGGTTCTGGGACCAGGAGCAAGATGAAAAGGGAGCCTGTGGTTTGTACCTCATTTGTCCCTTTGGGGGAATTTCCGTACCCTCTTTGATGCTCCCATTCAGCGACCTGGACAAATGCATGTCCACGCTTGGCCAGGATGGAGGCCAAGAGCTGGGCAGGTGGACGGTGATCACTTACTGAGCATTAAACATCCTCCATCGTCAAGTTCTCGGTTGGATTCCAGGGGCGTTGACAAGCCCTCCCAGCAAAAAGAGGCCACAGGCTGAACGGAGGAGGGCCTGGGCATGTCAGGGCTGCGCCCCAAGTCAGGCAGACAGGGAGGGCACCACCGGCCTGGACAGAGAGCCCTGGGTGGCAGACGGGCCTGCACCACGGCAAGCATGGATGTACGCTCAGAGACACTGTAGGAACCTTCCAGAACGCGTCTGGGCCCCGGGTGGGGGACAGAGTTAAGGACAGTGGTGCCTGGTGATCTGTCCCCTCCCAGCCCTGCCCCAGGACTCATCCCTGGGATGCCTCCTCACCCTCTCCCACCATCCTGTCCCTGGCACAGATCTCCCCATGACCGCAGCCTCCTCCTGGGTGTCCAGTGCGTGCGACCAGGGAAGCCTGCATCCTGCTTCCCTCCCTCCATCCTATTCCCTCTGGCTCGGGTGCCTCCGGGCAGTCTGTCCTTCGTCAGGGTACTGGGAATGCAGCTGGGAACAGAGCTGAGACCGACCTGTGTCTGCAGGGGCACACGGAGGGCACAGGAACCACTGTCCATAGCACAAAGCCAGGGTATGGGGGCCTCCATGGAGACAGAGTGAGCCAGGCAGGAGAGGCACAGAGCGGGGGGCCTGTGGAGTCAAGGTGGTCCAGGAGGGCTCCCCTGAGGAGGTGGCATTTGGGCATCTGAGGGAAGCCGGGATCACACAAGTCAGGAGGATGTCTAGAGAGGAAGCTTCCAGAGGAAGGCAACAGCAGGGCCGGAGCTGAGCCCGTGTGGGGCATGGCGGTGGGAGACGAGGGGGGGGCTCTTGGGGTGAAAGACACACGAATGAACGAATGAATGAGCAGTAGGCAGACCAACCTCTGCCTGTGGATGGGAACGAGACCCCTCTCAGATCAGCCCCAGACCTGAGTCTGCGGGGTAGTCTGCTGCCTGTGACCTGGTGGGTGGGAACCAGCCCCCACTCAGATCAGCCCCAGGCCCGAGTCTCCGGGGTACTCCGCTGCCTGTGACCTGGTGGATGGGAACCAGCCCCCGCTCAGATCAGCCCCAGGCCTGAGTCTCCGGGGTACTCCGCTGCCTGTGACCTGGTGGATGGGAACCAGCCCCCGCTCAGATCAGCCCCAGGCCCGAGTCTCCGGGGTACTCCGCTGCCTGTGACCTGGTGGATGGGAACCAGCCCCCGCTCAGATCAGCCCCAGGCCCGAGTCTCCGGGGTACTCCGCTGCCTGTGACCTGGTGGATGAGAACCAGCCCCCGCTCAGATCAGCCCCAGGCCCGAGTCTCCAGGGTATTCTGCAGGGAATGCAGGCAGGGGCATCACAACAGTGGGAAACCAGGGGCTCAGCGCCCAGGGCTGGCTCTGGGCCTCGTCCCTCGGGGTGAGCCCCGGAAGCCCCATGTAGGTGCAATCCCAGCTGCCCCTCCTCTTCCCTGGGAGCCTGGCCGGGCCCCTCGGAGGATGATAAATATTTATTTAAGGTTTTTCCAGTTGTCAGTGTGATAAACGGACCCTTGACAAAATCAATGAATCAAGTAAGCCAAGCTAATCTACAGGGACCCCTCCAGTCTCCCACCCTGCCCGCAATTCTGAGCCCCTCGACGGGGTTTCCAGATAATCGATCCATTTAGGCAGAGCTGGGCATGGGCGTGGGGTCTGCTGGGCTGTGAAGTCTCCGTGTCCTGACCCAGGGAGAGCAGGCTCCCACCGCGTGGCCTGCAGGACCCCGAGAGAGGATGTACACGCTCATAAGGGCTTTCCACAGTGGGCAGCGCTGACAGTCAGCCAGCAGCTACATCAGCAGAGGGATTTGTTTCCTAAACAAGACCCCCTAAGAAGGTTTCCTGAGGGCTTCAGATCAACAGACTTCTGCCGCTGGCCTCCAGGAAGCCCTCCTCCCTGCCCAGAGCCCGGCTCCTGGGTAGCAGCAGCCAGGCACCAGGACACCAGCAAGCAAAGGCAGCTCGCCCAAGGCAGGCAGGTGTGGATCCTTCTCCATGGCAGAAGAGCTAGGTGGGGTCCGCTGTGACTGGCGACTCCTTGGGAGGGGCTCTCTGGTGGTCCCCAGGAACCCACCCAAGGAAGGCTCACAGTGCACAGGCTGCAGCCACACAGCCGCGGTGACAGGACACAGCAGAGGGAACACTGGAGGACGCTTCCTGCCGGGAGGACAGTCAGAGCAGGACGGCCACCGCGGGGCGTGAGGCCAGCACTGCCTTCCCGCAGGAGCCCACGCTCTCAGTCAGTTTTCCACAGGGCTCCCAACTCCCACCAGGGGCTCAGAGGCTACTCATTTGATCTCACTCCTCCGTTACCAGCAGCGGCCACGCCCACACTTGCCATGGGAACGCTCAGGACGGCAGGTGGGTCCTGGGTCAGCCAGGGGAGCGGGCGGGGCAGAGGCGCAGCTCTCCTGGAGAAGGGTCTTTAGGGAGGGGAGAGAAGGCAGCACTTGCCAGAGAGTCTCCTTGGCCCCCCCGTCTCCCCTCCTGCACCTGCTTCCATCAGCGCCACAGACCACGAGAAGGGTGGGGGCCAGAACCCTGCCCCCCTTAGGACCCCATGAGAAGGGTGGGGGCCAGAACCCTGCCCCTCTTAGGACCCCACGCACATCATCACAGACCCCTCAAGAAAACATTTGCGACAGACCCCAACGGGTCTATATTTAGAGCTGAACTTTAAGCCAAATATCAAGGAGTTCTGGAGCGGAATTCTTGATGGGCTCAGCCCCTTCGTGTGTGCCTGGAAGACCAGCGAGCCGCCATCACCTGGTCCCATCCCGGGGGCTCATGCAGCTCATCCAGTTCCTACAAGCCTTTCATTGGTGGTGTCCTTGCCCAGGAGGTGAGAGGAGAGGATATGGGTCTGCTGAGACGGGGCCAGTACCTGCCAAGGCCGTGCCAGGTGTCTGGGTCAGAGCTGAGCTGCCCAGCCCTTCGCTGGTGTTTTCCTCCGAGTTCAGAAGCACTGACCTGGGGGGCTGTCTGCCTTCCAGGGTGCTCCAGGCCCAGCGGCCCCAGGAGGCCGGACTCAGGGGTCTTCAGCATGGCTGTGCTGTCAGAGGCCACATTCATACTGTGCCTGCCTCCTGCTCCCTGAGACACCACAGGGAGAGACCCCACCCTGTGCCCCAGAGGGGCACGGAGGACTTTGCATGATGCTCCCCAGGGGCGCCCTCAGAGCAGCCCTGGCGGGGAGGGGACACCACAACAGCCCATCTTATGATGCCCAAAGCAGGACCAGGAACCTCTGCCTCACCCCCAGGTAACACAGGAATGAAAGGGACCCACATGGTCCCAGGCACAACTCAGGCCTGAATCCTGGAGGCACCACTCTTTCCCAAGAACAAGAAGGTCAGAGAAAGCTTTTTGGAGCCCAGACACCCATGGATCAGAGTAGGGGGCCCTGGATCAGGATGCACCTTGTCCGGACTCCACACCCAGCCACTGTGTGGTTCCAGGCAAACTGCCTCACCTCTGAGCCACAGGTTCCAACCTGCAAAGGGACCTTGGGAGGATCCAGCGGCATCAAGTTTGGAAGGCAATGGAAACTGCTAGGAACTGCGGGATGAGGGTGGGGGGCAGGGGATATCTGCTTTGGTACAAGACTCTCCTTCACACAATGCTGGCATTTCCCAGGGGCACCTGGCTCTATGGGGGTCAAAGCCCTCACATCTGGTTCTATCCAGACATGACCTCTTAGTTACTCCCAGGGAAGCATCCAGGGTCCTGCTGAGCACCTCTGACCAGTCTGTGGGAAAAGTGCACGACAGGCCCACATGCCAGCCTGGAAGCCCTTACCCTCTCATTGCCCTCTCATGGCGCTCCTATCTGCATCTGCCCTCACCTGTGGCCTGCACTGCACTGACCCCGTTCTCCCAGACCTACACCTTATCCTGGTCAGGTGTGCCATCTGCCCAGCTCTGGAGCTGAGCACTCAACGCCTGGAGCCTTCTCTAGCTCTAGGCAGGCTGTGTGTGGAAACAGGGCAGGGCCACCTCGGGTGGACACAGAGAGGCTGCTACACCCACGCCCAGCATGCCCCAAAGTTCCCAGCTTCTGGTACAAGCCAGCTTTGCCACATCCAGGTCACTTAATGTTCTCAGTTACTGAAATACCCTGTGACTCGGTTTCTCTTTGAGAAAGAGAGGGATGTGACGGTACCTGGCCGGGTGGCCTCAGGGATGACTGCGGCACTGCAAGGAAATCATTCAGACCTCGCCTGGTGCAGAGCAAGCTGGCAATGAATGCCCAGGACCACAGGTCCAGTTCCCGAGGGCATCTGGCACTGCTAGCAGGGGGCTTGGCCTTTTCATCCATCTCCGAACGTAGTCCTCAGACCTGGGCAGGGGCCCATGCTTGTACTCAATGTGCACAGGTGCCACAGCTCTGACCACCACTCCAGGCCACACAGCAGTTGGTGTGGAAGATGAAGCCCAACCCGGCTCTGCCTGGTCCCAGAGCCCAAAGCCTGGCCCTGGCCCTGCCCCACCATCTGGGGCAGTCATCTCCAAAAGCAGGACAGGCAGGACCACCGCGGTTTGACAGGAGCGGGTGGGCCCCTGGGAGGTACCTGCGCCTGCTTCTGCTGAGTCCCTGCATCCTGCTTGTTACTGCCATGGTGTCCCCTCCTCCAAACGCCACCAAGCCAATACCATGAATATGATTTAAATTCAAATTAGGGCCACTTTCTGGAAGGCATGCAGAATCATTTGCTACACCAAAGTTCAGAAGAGCACGGATCTGGTGCTGGCTGCCAGCTGCCTGGTGGTAAATGGACTTCATGTCCCCGAAGCTCACAATGTTCCAGGCATTTATTGACAGTCCACGTAATTCAAATGTGCTGATGAGCAGGTATCAATATCAGGCCTGGGCTGAAAGCCCTTGGTGTCCACACACTGCAGACTACTTGGCAATTAATTTTTGGTGACTGTATTTCTAAAGAGAATCAAAGCAGAGAAATGGGATCATGAATCCTGCCTTTGGCTGGAAGCTAGGCTCATTCCATTTGAGAAAGATGTGGTACATGTTTACTCTTCCTATTTCTACTCAGGAGACAATTTATGATGAAACTGACTGTCATTTCATGCCAATGAATTCACATTTCATGTGGGAAAACTCTTCTTTCGATCAATTTGATCACTATTAAAGAACTTCTCTTTGGCCAAAAGGTTCTTCCAGCGTGGGTGTGAAAGCTTCTTGTAATATCATTCCCAGAAAGACGATGAGTTCAGTGAAACCAAATGACTTTAGTCCAGCAGCGGGCCAAGCATTTAATAAGCACCTGCTGTATGCCAGGTAGTACAGGGAACTGGATTGAATGGGGTCAGGAGATAAAAGACTTTGGCTGTTAGGCAACTGTTGGGAAAACTCTCACGCACGCCTTCACCTGCACTGATGCTGGGCTTGGCCATGTGGTCTGCTTGAGCCAGTGGGATTTTCGTGACCTGGAGGGGATGGCAGTGATGCGGTTCTGAGGCTGGGCCTGTCCCTGTGAAGTGCAGCCCTGAACCCAACCCACCACCTGGAGCCCAGCCTGCCGAGAGCAGCAAAGCTCCCCCTAGTCCACTCCCCTGCCCCGGAGCCCGGAGCCTAGGGTCCAGTCTGAGCCCACTGTAGCCGACCCACAGACCACGGTCAAAGCCACCACTGCTGACCCAGGGTCTCGAACACCACTGCGAGCCCTGAGTTTCTGGTTTGTTCCACAGACAGGCACCCAATCTCACAAAATACAGACTGGCTGGAAACCCAAGCTCATGCTAAAGGGCATGGCAGGACAGGTCATCTCCACGGTTGGCAGGGCGAGGGAGCAGGAGGGCAGAGAGACAATGGCCCAGAGAGGCGAGCGGCTTCGGAACTGCAGCCGCACACGGCATTTCCAGCCATCTTCCTCACTACGCTCACTTAAGAGAAAGAGCAATCGCACTGGGTGTCAACACCCACGTGTGTGCAGTTGGCCACAGAGACACTGGACAAAGCCCCACAGGGTCGGATCCCCATCAGGCACCCCCAGGCCTCCTGCACCTGAAGATGGGCCTGTGCGCCTGCAGCACTAGCTGCCATGTTCACTGGGGTGGGGCCCAGGGTCACCTTCCCCACTCCCGGGACCTCCGAAGATGCAGGCAGAAAGAACACGTTGCACAACAGGGCAGGGCCTGGGCTGGAGGGCGGGGCCGGGGCTGGGGGGCGGGGCCGGGGGGCAGGGGCTGGGCTGGAGGGCGGTGCTGGGGCTGGGGGGCGGGGCCGGGGCTGGAGGGCGGGGCCGGGGCGGGGCCTGGGCTGGAGGGCAGGGCCGGGGCTCAGAGCAGGTTCTCAGTGAAGACCGCCCTATTTCCACTCCGGTGCTGTCACTGGCTAGCCATGGGCTGCTGGGCTCGTTAGTTAACAGTGGCATTTCCAACCTTCTCCACGTGTGAAATGCAGCAGCAGTCATCACACTCAGAGTCCTCCGGAGAGAGACGGAGACGCTGAGGCCCATCCCAGAGTCTCAGACTCCACAGGTCTGAGTGGGGCCAGAGATGGCCATTCCTAACACGCCCCCAAGGCTGTGCCAGGACCACTGGGACCCCACTCTAAGAGTCACTGGCTTATGAGGTTGCCATGAAATCAGATAATGTCCCTAAAGTGGCAAACCAAGGGCCAGGACATAATGCAGCACCCCTGAATATGAGCGGCTCTCCCCATTACTGTCACTATTGCACAGTGAAGAGTCTCCCGACCGCTCCAGCTCTGGCCCAGCAACCATGTCTGGTGCCCGTCTCCCCCCATCTCTTACCCAGTGTGGGGGCTCCAGGCTTGGGCTGACGTGGCATCACAAACAAAGGTGTCCCCACTTCCCCTCCTACAAAGGAATGGAAACACCTGGGGAAAGGCTGGATCCCAAGGGACCCCTGAAGTCCCAAGGGCTCCCCTGATTGTTCCAAAGCAACTCTCCCAGCCCCGTGAACAACTCAGGAACCCCCTCAATCCACGGCATGAGGCCCACCAGCACAGGGAGAGGAGTTTCTGGTCCTGACTCCCACCAGGCGCAGAAGAGCCGAGGTGAGCTCCCAGGCCCGCCGGATCTTCCCGTAAGTGGTTCGGCTGAAAGACTCCCTCTGCCTTTTCATTTGAAAATATAGATACCATCAGACGTTTTGATCATTTCTATTTTTGTTTCTACACTTCAATTTTGGCAGTACTCTCTTGGGAGCTGGGGGGAAAACACATTTTTCTCTACCATTTTTAATCTTCTTTTATTTATCAAACTTAGCTCCTCTTTGGGTGGATTAAAACAGACTTGGACAGAGTCTGGAAAAACAAACTCTTTTAAAACAAGACAAAGATTGAGTCTGGCCAACTGGCTATTTTCAATCCTTGCTGAACGGAGTCAAGGCAGTTGGTAGTAACAGCTTGTGGCCATCCGCTATCGTCCTCCCCGCACGAGAGGGTGGGGCCTCCTCAAAGTGACCAGAGCCGGTGACTTCGGGACTCAATGCTCCCGAAACAGCGCACGGCCTAGTGAGCCTTTCCAGAACTGCAGAGGGGCGTCTGAGTGTGGACCATGAGTGCTGGGCACCTGGAGGGATGGAGGTGAGCCCCCCATCCTGCGGACCCTCAGAGATGGGAAGTAGGAGGAGGACTTGCCGGGCCACACCCTCCCACTCTCCGGATTTCCCCAAAGCTTGCTGGATACACGTCACTTGCTCAGCAGTCCACATCATCCGTATCTCTTGTCCCACAGCCATGGGCTGCCCAGCAAGGTGAGAAAAACAGGGACGTCCACACACCCTGTTTGAGAAGGGAGCTCTTCTCAATGGGATTCTCTCCCCCACAAGCTCCAAGAGGATAGGGCAGTGTCTGATGGTCACTGAGGGACCTCCAAGGGCCATCCAGTGCTCAGCTCAGTGTGTCTGCTGAATTAATCAAGGCCTTTGCAGTGGACTCAGGCCACCTTGCCCTGGGACAGGCAGGCACAAAATGAGGACTGACAATGCTGTCAGCGCACGCCGGGATGGGAGCCTCAGCTGCTGGGAATGCACTTGCAGTGAAGTGCTGACCAAGGAGTGGACCCTGCCCGCTGGCCACGTGCAGGCGCAGTCCCCATGGGGAGGCATGCTTCTTCCAGGCTGAAGGGGAGCCCTCCGCCCGACTTAGGGAGCCCACCTGCTCCTCCAGGCTGCCTGCCCAGGCTGTGCCCATGATGGGGTGGGAGGGCCAGCCCCAAAACTGAGCATGCCCCGGCTCTCCTCTCACCCAGTGACGGGCCTGGCCACCCAGAGCCTCAGGAGCAGCTCCGTTGGGTGGGACCTGCTTGAGGCTCACAGATCCCGGCACTCCCCTTCCCCAGGGTGGCAGAACCCAGCCAAATTACAGCAAGCAGCACTCACACCTTCACCCACTCATTCACGTATTAATCTGCCCTGCCAGACTCCAGGGGCATCTGTTGACAAAGAGCCTCTAACTGGGACGGGCCATGGGGACGGTGTCCTGGGGTCTCTCAGGTGCCCAGGCGGCAACCTCTGTGGGGCACTGGGTAACCGCAACAATTTCCCCTCCTCTCTCCTGCGCCCAAGGTACCTGCCCAGCCGTCTCCACACCTGAGAGCCCACCTGGTACTGGTCCTGCATTATTTCTGGGTGTCGGCCCTGTCTTCCCAGGAACAGCTAAGGTCCTGAAGGCAGAGGCAGCCCCAGAAGCCTCCACCTCTCCCAGTGCCAACACAGGATGTTCAATAACACCCAACCTAATTCCAAAGAGATTGTGAGCAGCAGCTGGGTTCAAAGTAATCACTGCATAACCCAGAAACATTCATTAAGCACCTACTGTGTGCTGGGCTATCCACTAGGCTTTAGGAGATACAAGACATAGGGTTGCCGCCCTCATGGGCGTCTCACTCAGGTGAGAGAACAGCCAAATACTTGCAATCACAACAGTGCCCTATGAGTGCTGTGGCCTGGGGCACATCCAGCCCCCACTGAGGCAGGGGCACCAGGAACACTGTGCCAAGGAATTCGGAGACCAGAGGCCTTAGGCCGAGTGGCAGCATGGCATGGTCTGGATGGCAGACTTCAGTGAGCGGCGGAAAGATCGAAGGGACGGCAGAGCAAGAGGGAGGGAGAACGCTGTCTCCCACAAATACGGTCCACTTTCTCCAAACCTGAAGGCTCGCTGTGAACCTCATGGTCCAGGAATCCATCTGGAGATGGTGGAAGTCACGGTTTCCATGAGAGTCCTTCTGCCTATTGACTGAGCCACTGGGGGCTGGCTGGACTGCTCCCGCCAAGCAGCAAAGGAGAGGCAGCTGCCGTCCACCGAAAAGCAGGTGTGCTCAGCATCCCTCCCTCACACCCTTAGGGCCTGGCGGCAGGAGGTGAGACAAGATGCAGATTTCAGCCCCGAGTCTGGCTTACTTCAGGATTCCTCCCAGGGCTCTCTCACCTCAGAGGCAGTGTGGGACCCCAGACCACACCTTGTTTGCAGGCCTCGCCTAGATCATGGTAACAGCCAGAACTCAACAATTCCTCCAAGTCAGCGTCCCCGTGGCCCGGAGTGGGGACTGAGACCCACACACACCCTCCTCCGCAGGCACGTAGGGACGCAGCAAATCCAGAGTGAGTGCGTAGTGCACATCGGGCCTTAAGGTGGTGGGTGGAAACGCAAAGCACCTAGCCAGCTGTGCCGCTCTGTGCCCCGGGAGGAAGCTGGCATGGTGCTGATGCGGTTAGCGCCCTTGCACCCTCCTGGTGCTGCAGCTCATTTGAACAAAGCCCAGATTAGCATGTGGTGCAGAGGTCTGCATATTTCAACAAACTGCTGCCTTGTCAGATGTCACCTCGAGGGACGGGCTGATGGAGTCCCTGGCAAACCCAGGACTGGCCATGGAGTGGGGACATAGCCTGAACTGCCCCGGGCTGGTGGCACTGGCTCGCCTTGTACGGCCTCCTCCCGTAGATGGGGCAGATAATACGGGGGGAGGATGCTCCCTAAGTCCACAGCTCTGCAGAGGGCCCAGACCCCGCTCTGCCAGGGTGGTGGGCATCAGAGCTGGGTGGAGCTCTGTGAAGTCGGGGTCATGGAAATGGTATGTAAACCACGGAACCTGAAGAGAAGACGCCACCCCAGGGTGCACACCCCAGACACCACGACACGCCCTGGCTGACAGCTCTGGCCAGCGGAGCACTTGGGAGCCGGCAGTCTCTGCAGCCCAGCCTGCTGGTCCTGCCGAGCACCCAGGTGCCCACGGTGCTGACACATGACCAAGGACAGGCATCCATGGTGTGGGCCGCCTGGAGCCCCCCAGGTCCCGGGAGCCCCTCGGCTTATCGGAGACCAACTCCAGCCCGGGAAGCCCTCATTTGCTGAGGTTTTCTGGAGCCCCCCATGCCTCTCCAGGTGGAGAATGAGGCTCAAACGGAGGGGAATCTTGGCAGCCCAGACGCGCCGCCTGCAGGGAAGTTGCCTGCTGGCGCAGACACACAGCCTGTCCAGAGCCTAACGGAATGCCACGGGCCCCAGAGATCCTCAGCCTGGAGCAGGCCTGGAGGCGGGGGCTCTGCCCGAGCAGGGACACAGTCCCCCAGGAAGGCGAGAACACAGCAGGCCAGAGGCGGAGAGGCCTCCAGTGAGGTCCAGCCATCTCCACTGGAGCAAGGAAAATATCTCCTCTCCAGACTGTGGTCAGCGGCGGGCCCGGGGCGTCCTGCTCTGTCACGGGGGGAGGGTCCCCTAAGCAGCAGCCAGGGTGCCCCCATAGGAGGCTGCCCCCACCCCGCCAAGCCCAGACCAGCAGGGAGGCTCTCCTTGGAGGCAAGGCCCCCACCTCCTGTTCTTCCTGGGTGACATTTCCTCCAGAGAGTGGCCGGAAAGGTCACCTCCCCTCCACTCGAGCCGGCTTCATTGCCGTGATTACACTTTATGATTCTTTTATGAAGGATTTTGTCTTTAAGTTCCACAAATGTTATTGCAAAAAAAATGACTCGGGCCCCATCTCTGCCCTGGGGAGGGGAGCGGCCTGGCTGATTGGTCATAAGGGCTGATGCCTCGAAGATCCTCATTCTCAGCAGCGCTGGAGGAGACCAGACGACCCGACTCCCCAGGAGATGTTCAGAGACGAAGGCACCAGGGGAGCGCGTGGAGGACACAGACCCCAGACCACTCTCCCCTCTTCGTGCCCCTCAGCAAGGCGTGGAGGGCTCCACGTGGACACAGACCCCAGACCACTCTCCCCTCTTCGTGCCCCTCAGCAAGTCACCCACTGCCAGGTCGGCCCCCCGCTGTGTAGAGTGGTCATGGACACATCACACAATATGCATACACAGCACACACTACACACCACACACAACACACACCACACATCATACACCCCAGACAGTATGCCAGTACACATATACACACACTATACACACCACACACACACACAAATACACACATCACACACACCACACATACACCACACAAACACATCACACACCACACACACATACACACCACACACCCATACACACACACCACACACACACCACATACACACACATACTGTACTCCACACACAACACACACCACACATCATACACCCCAGACAGTATGCCAGTACACATATACACACACTATACACACCACACACACAAATACACACATCACACACACCACACATACACCACACAAACACATCACACACACATACACACCACACACCCGTACACACACACCACACACACACCACATACACACACATACTGTACTCCACACACAACACACATCATACACCCCAGACAGTACACCAGTACACATATACACACACTATACACACCACACACACACAAATACACACATCACACACACCACACATACACCAAACAC